GGGGTGGAGTCCCCATCCCTGGCTGTGTTTAAGGGCCGTTTAGATGCAGTGCTGAGGGACATGGTGTAGGGGAGGACTTTGTAGAGTAGGGGAGATGGTTGGACTCGATGATTCTATGATTCTATGTGCACCTTCGCCTTTGAGTCTGTCCTGGTGTTGTGTACCTGGAGAGTCTCTTATTCCAACTACATTAGCTTTTTTTTAGAAATAGTAACAATCATTGCCAGAACACATGGAAATCTCATCTGTGCATTTCTTCCTAGCGACTAAATATCTGTGGTGTGTTTTGCACTGGAGGTTTTGGGGTTACAACCCCCACCAAATGAGTTCATAAGGGTAATTTAAGCATCCTGCCCTAGAATGTGGCTGATTTCCCTGTCCTGATGTCCTCTTCCTCAGCCTGTCACGCCCTCTGGTTTTCGCCTGGGAATGAAACTGGAGGCAGTGGACAAGAAGAACCCGTCTCTGATGTGTGTGGCCACCATCACAGACATGGTGGACAACCGCCTGCTCGTCCATTTCGATAACTGGGATGAGAGTTACGACTACTGGTAAAGATTCTACTGCTAATATGTATCTGCAAGTGGACTGTGGTTTATTTTGCTCTTCCACTAAGGGTAATATTTCTAATATTTTAAATGTAGTCACTAGAGATGGGATCTTAAATGGTCTGTGTTTTCCAGCCTACACGAATGGAGCAACTTTCTTTGAATTTGTGTGGAAAAGCAACACAAGGCACATCCTGTCAAAATAGCACTGGGTCAATCAGTGTTCTCTCTTCTCTCCCCCATCTCCTTTTCTTTGGTTTTTTTTTTTTTTTTTTTTTTTCAGAAGGCAGCACCTGTTTGGTTGGAAGTTGGTCTTTTCTTTCTTTGCCATAAATACATCACTCAGAGCTTTGCAGCACTGGTGTTTCCATTCGCAGGGCTTTATATCTCCTTCCTTGACCATTTTAGACCATGAAGCTTTGTTTTCGTGCCGTGTTTTGTTTAGAATTTGTAAATTTTAATGGGAAACACAGGCAAACAAAGCTTCAAAGTAGAGCTTGGCTGAAAACACACAGGTTTTTTCCTAGATCTGAAAGACCGCTCTGGCCCCTTCCTCGGAGCAGATGTGACAAAAAGGGTTGTCTCAAATTGGCCCGTTGCCTCCTTCAGGGGCTCAGAAGATTGAAACATGCAATAAAATTGGGAACCAGGCAAACTACCTCTGGGTTTCAGCAGAATGAATGGATAACGTGCAGTTCTTGGCGAAAACCTTAAAAGTGATTTCCTTTTCTTCCACAATAGCAGTGTTTCAGTTCGGGATGAAGGTTTGGGGTTTGTTTCTTTGCTTCCTTTGAATTTTAGCTTGGATGATCCGTGTCCAGGCTGAACTGTGGTTGTTATGGTCCATGTGTGGGGGAGTTTTTGTTGTTGTTTTTTTTTTTAAGGCACCAGATAGTCTTCTTTGTGTTTCCCTATCTTTTGGGGGCAGCTTGAATGCCTTGAAAACTGGGCGTTATAAATCCTAACGAGGTAATGCTTGTCTTTTACGCCGGGATCACACCCACTGCAAGCACCTGCTAACCCAGCAGAGGTGGATCAGGCAGCATTTGAAATTCCACTTTGCTTTTTGCTTTTAAAATTGACTGGTGCCAACTTTTCCTCTTTAATTCAGGTGCGAAGCTGGCAGCCCTTACATTCGTCCTGTTGGCTACTGCCAAGAAACTGGAACCCCACTGACAACACCACCTGGTATGTGGAAAGAGAAACTTATTTCCTGCCTCAGTCAAAAACCCTGCGAGCTTTGTCTTCCACGTAATTACGTATTTGCAAGTTACAGGTTCCATTCAGGACTCTTTACTGGCTGAACAATATTACTGCTCGTACTTTTTTGCCACTGCGTTTTATTTTGCTCTTTCAAAAAGAAGGAACGGGGTTTTGGTAATTTGTAATTGGATTTGATTTCAGAAGGGTAAGGACTTGGAAGTATTTGCAGCATTTCCTTTAGGGTGAGCTGGAAAAGAGGAATCAGGGTCATGATTTTATAGTGGTAAAATGGAATTTCTGAAAACGAAAGAGTAACTGAAGGCACCTCTCTTGCTGCTGCACTAGAATTCAGTAAATGAAGAGAATGTTGGGAAATAAAAAAAGCACAGGAAAATCAATGTTGCTTTCAGGTCTTGGAAGTGCTCATTCACCTTAAAAGTAACAAAATAATAATAATAAAAAAAAGATGTCTGCTGTTTGCTAGATTGATAGCCCTGGAGCAAGGATTCCTGCAGTTCCTGCGTGTGGAGTTCAGTGGAGTGAGTGGCTCTCCCAAGATCCCTCTGCGCCAGAGGAATTGGCCTCTGTGCCTTTGCTGCAGATGCCAGAGGGGTTGTAAACCCTCACCATCAGCACAGACTGGGGGGTGAGGTACTAGAAAGCAGCCCTGAGGAAAGGGACTTGGGGTGCTGGTGGATGAGAAGCTGGACATGAGCAGGCAGTGGGCACTTGCAGCCCAGAAGGCCAATCCCATCCTGGGCTGCATCAAAAGCTGTGTTGCCAGCAGGTCCAGAGAGGGGATTCTGCCACTTTACTCTGCTCTGGTGAGACCTCACCTGGAGTATTGTGTGCAGGTCTGGAGCCCTCAATAGAAGAAGGACATGGACCTGATGGAGAGGGTCCAGAGGAGGGCCACAAGGATGATCAGGGGGTTGGAGCACCTCTGCTCCGAGGACAGGCTGAGGGAGCTGGGGTTGTTCAGCCTGGAGAAGAGGAGGCTCTGGGGAGACCTAATAGCAGCCTTCCAGTACCTGAAGGGGCTACAGGAAGGCTGGGGAGAGCCTGTTTAGAAAGGGCTGCAGTGACAGGACGAGGGGCAATGGCTTCAAGCTGGAGGGGAACAGATTTAGACTGGAGATGAGGAGAGGGTTCTTCACTGGGAGGGTGGTGGAGCACTGGAACAGGTTGCCCAGGGAGGGGGTTGAGGCCCCTTCCCTGGAGATATTCAAGGAGAGGCTCGACGAGGCCCTGGGCAACCTGGTCTAGTTGGGGGGGTCCCTGCTGACTGCGGGGGGGTCGGACTAGATGACCTTTGGAGGTCCCTTCTGGCCTGGACAACTCTATGACTCTAAACACTGACTCTTTGGCAGCACCACGTCTGTTCCTGCTCCAGGAATGTGTAGCAGGGCTGGGTGTGCTGCTCCTCAGCTCAAATCAGTTACCTGCACCCCCAGCAGCAACCACAGGCCATCCTGATTTCTCTTGATTTACATGCAGCAATTTGCAGGCTGTCCTGCGCGCTTGGTCGTTGCACCCTCCTGCCAAAAGGAAACAATACTGAGGATAAAAATGACAGAAATAGGAAGGGGGGAAAAAAGTAGAGCAGTTTCTTAAATGTAGCTGCCAAGGAGAGCTGTGCACCCATGGAGGTGTCTGAGGTTGTGGTAACAGCTATGGGGCCTTTTATCTGGTTTTACTCAGCCACGGGTGAGTAAGTTGCAGGAGAGGAGAAGTTTCTACAATCTTGCAGGCACTCACACGTAGAATAGTTAATAAAATGGGAAATTAATTTAGTGCTGCCATTGCACATCACAGAATCCTCTGACTGCCTCTTAATTGGCGGCTTTCTCTGGAGAACAAGCATTCATTGAGCTGTACAGAAATGAACTCTACAGGTTTTTCGGGTCAGGGTTAAAGCCCTGTGTAAGAAGCTGGGGAAACTTGGAGCTTGTGTGTGCTGGGAGTGGTGTTTACAAAGAAACAGACCACTTTCTGGCGCCATCCATTGTACGTGCTAAATGAACATAATAGCCATGTGTTACGTAGCTGCTTTTCTGTTGTTTGTAACAATAAGTGTGGGTTTTTCGTACTTAAATGTTAATTCTCTGTTTTTCTCAGGATACAAGGATTCCAAAGCCTTCTCATGGGAGAAATACTTGGAAGAAACTAACTCCCAGGCAGCCCCAGCAAGAGCATTCAAACTGGTTGGTGAATCTCTTTGATTGTCCTAGATGAGGAGGGCAGAGGGAACTCCTGTTATCTCTCCTTTCTTGCTGGATGCTTGGTTTGAGGTGGTTCACCATGTCTGTGCTGGGTTTTTTACTTTAAGATCATCTCTCACTGCTGCTAAAACAAAACACACAGCAAACTGCAAGATTATTTAAAAAAAAAAATGCCATGAAAAGCTTCTTTGGGAAGGATTTTTGACTAAACATCTTCACTTGCTGCATTAGGAGATTTAAGGGAAGAGCCTTCAGTCCACACAGGTAATTGTAGCTTTTGGAGGAATGTGTGAAGGGCAATCCCTTGGCTCAGAGAGGGCATGGAGAGAAGAAGGAGCTGTTTTTCTGCCCAAGGTTTGGCCGTGTGGGCAGAGGGGATCTCCCAGTTGGCATCTGAGCAGGACTGACGCTGGTTGAACAGACTTTCCAGGCTCTCCTTCCTGGGGGTCAGGAGTGGGTATTGTTGCCTGCAACTGGTGACATTGGTGGGGAAAGGATGAAGGGGTGAGGAGTGTGTGTGTGTGTGTTTGAGGGGGAATGAGAAGTGTTCATCCATCAGGTGTCACCTCCGCATGAAGTTTTAAAAACTTCTCTAAACGGTTTTCACCTTGCAGTTGTGCAAATCCTTCTGCCCCCTGGTTGGTGAGGCTGGAATTAAGGTAGAGTGAGAAGGTCCTATCAAGGACATACATGCATGTCCCCTCCACAGAACTAAGCGTATGAAGAGATGATACAGCACCTCTGCCAAGCTCCTAGATGGAGTAAGATCTTCAGGCTGGATATTAGGAAAAATGTTTTCACTGAAAGGGTTCTCAGCCATTGGAATGGGCTGCCCAGGGAGGTGGTGGAGGCCCCATCCCTGGAGGTGTTCAAAAGACAGGTTGATGTAGTGCTGGGAGGTCTGGTTTAGTGATGATGCTCCTTGTTTGTTGTGTGGGTGTCTATTTTTGTCAGTCAGGTTGACGGTTGGACAAGATGATCTTTAAGGTCCCTTCCAACCTAGAAGATTCTGTGATTCTGTGATCTTCCTGCAGACTAAATCTGAAAGGGGTTCTCTCAACCTTGGGAGCAGGACCTTTTGTTTCTTACATTGGAGCTCAGCGGGTTTATCTGGAAGCTCACTGTGAGCAGAAACAGAACAAAAGCCTTTAAAATAACTTCATAAAAAAAAAGCCTAATATTTTAAAATGGATATTTTTTTTTTAATATTTCTTAGCAGCACCTTCTGCACTACTGGCTCACCTCACTAAACTTTGCAATATGTTTAAAAACTTTTCTGTGCCACTGTGACACTTGTGTTGATTCCTCCCGAGGAAGTCAGCGTTGCGGGTTAATACCTGCTGCCCTCCCGTGTATTTTGTTGGTGAGCTCCTTGGGCCCGAGGAGGAAAAGCAATCAGGGAGGCCTCAGATAAGGGAGGTAAAAATCCAGCCAGCCAAGTTTGATAATTGCTAGATTGCAGCAGGTGGCCATTTGAAGTTGCTGCAGGTTGCGAGGTGGATGGCAGGGAATAGGAAGAGGTTGGTTTTGCCTCTTTAGAGAGCTGTGAGGCCACAGCTGGAGTTATCTGCAGCGCAGCTCAACTCCCAGACATCCCCTGGATTAAGGTTTGCTGGAGTTGGGCTGACACATTTTCCATCAGGCAGCACCACAGGTGAGTCACCCCGGAGCCAGCATGTGGGATAATGAGTGGAGCTTGTCACTCGGACACATTTGTTGTCCCCAGCCTTTTTCTGAGCCGTGCTCCTAAAACCCCAGCCCTGCTGGAAAAGGGGAACCTTCTGAATGTGAGAGTGAAAGAATATGGCAATTGCTCTTCTACACAATAGAGGAACAATAGAAGTAGTTTTGTAGAGACTACTCTCAGCCTGGAGAAGAGGAGGCTGAGGGGAGACCTTATTGCTCTCTCCAACTCCCTGAAAGGAGGGTGTAGAGAGGTGGGGGTCGGTCTCTTCTCTCAAGTCACAGGTGACAGGACAAGAGGAAATGGCCTCAAGTTGTGCCAGGGGAGGTTCAGGCTGGATATTAGGAAAAATTTTTTCACTGAAAGGGTTCTCAGCCATTGGAATGGGCTGCCCAGGGAGGTGGTGGAGGCCCCATCCCTGGAGGCGTTCAAAAGACGGGTTGATGTAGTGCTGGGAGGTCTGGTTTAGTGATGATGCTCCTTGTTTGTTGTGGGGGTGTCTATTTTTGTCAGTTAGGTTGACGGTTGGACAAGATGATCTTTAAGGTCCCTTCCAACCTCGAAGATTCTGTGATTCTGTGAAATATTTTGGAAAGATAATAAAACTCTTCGTGGTAGAAAAAGAAACAGTGAAGTACAACCTACTTAAAACTCCCAGTCTCAGGTCCTCAGTAATGTGTCATTACAGCATTCACTGAATTTCACTGAATTTCACTGAATTTTTAGAGTTGGAAGGGACCATAGAGATCATCTAGTCTTTCCTCAGATTTTCAGAATTTTAAATGTATTGAAAAATGCCACCCAAACATAACAGGGCTTTGCTCAGGACAGGGGTTGCTCCCTCTTTTGAATTCTTCCAAAGTGAAAAGTCTTCCCAAGAGGGAACTCAACTGCCTTGGCTGCCTCTTCTCCTCTTTGACATACGTCTCTGCAGCCCTTTTTTTTGCTCCTTCAGGTATCTGGCTTGGAGAGAAATAGCAGAAGGGCCAATTCTGGCTCTTGTGAAACTCCAGAATATAAATTAGCGTCCAAGACTGTGTTTCGAAAATGAGACAGGGAAAAAAAAGAAGGCATTTGATATATCAACAGTTAATAGAACTCTTTCAAGATCAAACCTCGTTATTTTTCTGGCTTGGTCGGTCTGAAGTGCAAATACATGGCAGAGTTATTGATTTTTTTTTTATTATTATTATTATTCCAGCTAGCAATTACAGGAAATCAGTACATAAAAATATGGGTTGAGAGCCAGAACAGGCATTTCTCACTGAATTAGTTTTTAACAGTTTTCAAGGGCTATCTTATGTAGTCTGAAGACACTCATCATCAGCCCAAACAGCAGATCTTGTGTCTGGATTTCTGCCTTCTCCTCCACCCAGAAACACGGGAGGAGACAGCTTTGTCCTCAGCGTCGCTATTTCAGCCCATTGTCTCGGGCTGTCAATTGAAAAACATTCAGAACCCGGTGCCAAAAAGGCAGCAGCCCTTCAGCAGGACTTAAAAAAAATAGCCTGGTGCATCTTCTGGGCAGGATTTTTTTCTCCAGCTCTCAGGCTGCTTCCTCGAGGAAGATGGACAAGGTTGGCTGGTTCAATAAGACGCTCTTAAAACTAAAAGCAGTTGAGATTGTCTGGCTTCTAGTGTGGTGTGCGGCTGAAAGCCTGGGGATAAATGTCTGTGTCCAGGTGAAAAGACCAGAGAAACTTGAAGTTTGGAGTCTGTAACCCCCTTAGCTCAGAAATGGACCTCCTTCCCCTGCCCCTGGCTGCTGGCAGTAAGAAGGGTAAGGAAGATTGTGAGGGAAGAGAGATTTTAATCATCTTTTCATTAACCTGATCTTGTTCAAAGACACGATTTATCATCTCTTGCTAAAATCCTGACCTTTGTGTGCAGAAGTGAAGAGGGACGTGTTTTGAATGAGTATGGGGTGCTCGGTGACCCCCCGGTGAGGGGCTCAGAGGAGGAATTTGCAGTCAGTCATTTAAAGATAACTGGAAAAATTGGTAAATGCTGTCTGTTACTTAGAGGTTTGTGTCTGCGGGTGCTGCAAAGGGCACACATCAGGTCAAAGGACATTCTGGAGTTTTTACAAATTAGTTTGATTGCTGTGGTTTCAGAGAAAGGGTGAGTTGGCAGCAGAGATGGGAGACTCCAGTGGCCAGAGCTGCTCTGAGGTCCCAGCACCACAGTTCTCCATAGTCATCGTTAACAAGCAAAGTCATAAGAAGTAGGTGGTAATCTGCTTAATGAAGGTAGCTCTGTGGTATCCTGATGGCAAGAAGGGTGTCATGTTTAGTGTAGTGAAGAGAGATCATAGGATCATAGAGTTGTCTAGGTTGGAAGGGACCTTTAAGACCATCTAGTCCAACCATCAACCTAACTCTGATAAAAAACCATCACTCTAAAACCATGTCTCTAAGCACTATGTCCACGTGTCTTTTGGATGCCTCCAGGTATTCAACCACTGGAATGTCTCAACCCCTTCCCTGGGCAGCCCATTCCAAGACTTAATAACCCTTTCCATGTCAAAACTGTTCCTAATCTCCAATCTGAACCTCCCCTGGTGCAACTTGAGGCCATTTCCTCTTGTCCAATCACCTGTTCCTTGGGAGAAGAGACCGACCCCCCCTGGCTACACCCTCCTTTCAGGGAGTTGGAGAGAGCAATAAGGTCTCCCCTCAGCCTCCTCTTCTCCAGGCTGAACACCCCCAGCTCCCTCAGCCTCTCCTCACAAGTTCTCCAGACCCTTCTTGGTCTCCAGACCCCTCACCAGCTCCATTGCCCTTCTCTGGACCCGCTCCATCCCCTCAAAGTCTTTTTTGTGGTGAGGGGCCCAAAACTGGACTCAGGACTCGAGGTGAGGCCTCACCAGTGCCCAGTGCAGGGGGACCATCACCTCCCGAGTCCTACTCCCCACGCTGTTCCTGACACAGGCCAGGATGCTGGTGGCCTCCTTGGCCACCTGGGCACACTGCTGGTTCCTGTTCAGCCAACACTTGACCAACACCCCCAGGTCCTTTTCTGCCAGGCAGCTCCAGCCACTCTGCCCCAAGATGTCACACGGTGGTGTGTTTCAGGTGGAAGACAGTGGTGAACTGGCCGCTGTCCATGTCAGACGCGTGATCTCCCTGCTGTGTTTGGGAGTTTCACTGTCAGTCTGTGCATCTCTAGAGCTTGTGGTCTTTTCTCTGTTGGGGAAGTGCCTCTTGCCCTGGCTCTGAAATGCTGCTGACAAACAGAATCAGAATCACAGAATCGTAGTGGTTGGAAGGGACCTCAGAGATCATCGAGTCCAACCAACAACAACAAAACAAACAAACAAACAAACAAAAAAAACCCCAAAAACAACAACAAAAAAAAACCCACAAAACCCACAAACCACCACCCACCACCTAAACACACAACAACAACCACCAAACCAAAAACCATCACCCACCCACACAGCACCCCACCACAAACCAGTAATCTTGGGCACTAGAGCATGCCCTGAAGAACCATGTCTACACGTTTCTTAAATACCTCCAGGGATGGTGACTCCACCACCTCCCTGGGCAGCCCATTCCAATGCTGGATAACCCTTTCAGTAAAGAAATGTTTCCTAATATCCAACCTGAACTTCCCCTGGCGCAACTTGAACCCATTACCCCTTGTCCCATCATCTGTAACTTGGAAGAAGAGACCAACCCCCATCTCTCTACACCCTCCTTTCAGGTACTTGTACAGAGCAATAAGGTCTCCCCTCAGTCTCCTCTTCCCCAGACTGAACAACCCCAGCTCCCTCAGCCTCTCCTCGTAAGACTTGTGCTTTAATCCTTTGAGGGCTTTAATCCTTTGAGAAACTCTGATTTTAACCTCCAGAGCAGCCTGCCCTGGGAGATGAGGGGCCGAAGCTGCAAAGGCATTTGAGTGGGAGATGGACCCTTCAGTGCATTTTATCCAGAGCAGGCGACTGGCTCTGAACACCCAGAGGTTTTCACATTCTGCTTCCAACCCTCTCTCACAGCGCCCCGCTCACGGATTCCAAGTGAATATGAAGTTAGAGGCCGTAGACAGAAGAAATCCCATCTTGATAAGAGTGGCAACAATCGTTGACAAAGACGACCATCGCATTAAGGTAGGACCTTGCTGCAAAGAGCAGAGCCCTCGTGCTGAGGAATATGGTGATCGGCAGCTCAGAAAAAATACCCATTTGGGGTGAGGAGCAGCAAACAAATGCTTTGCCCATGATGGAGCCTCCGGGCCTGCCCAGCTGGAAACAATTTCGGTTGTTTTGTCCTGTTGAAATCTGATGGAATTGCCTGGTATTGTTAGTTACTCTTTTAATGTAACTATTTTGAAATAACATTTGACAGCACGATTTTCCATCTCTCGGCGGTTTCCGTGCGAGTGACGGCAGCGTTAATGTGCTGCTGCTGGGATGCTACCTGACAATTTTCTTTTCCTTTTTTTTTTAAAAAACCCAAAGCAAGTTAAACCCTGGTGCACGTGGGAAGCAGCTTCATTCTCTCGGATGAATTTGTTACCTACATGGATTTTGACTAATTCTTATCATGTAAATACATTGCCAGAAAAATCTGTCCTGCTTTGGCTTCTTGAGAAATGAAGTAGGAGGCAGCTAAAGTGGAGGCTGCGGTGGTGGAGGCTCCTCAGCCATAGGTCTCCTTCCCAAAGGATGACTGTGTGTGCAGGAGTAGAGTTCCCCCTCCATCAGTTGTTTGATTCTCAGTTTCATCGCTGTGATTAGTGTGCAGGAGTAGAGTTCCCCCTCCATCAGCTTTTTATTCTCAGTTTCATCACTGTGATTGCAAGCAAAAGTCGAGTTCTGAGTAGCATAATACTCAGTTTGTACTTTTTTTTTTGAAAATTTGCCACATAAAAACAACCCAGTGGTCCTTAGTCTCTGGTAACCTCACCTGGATCTGAGCTAACTATGACTCGTCCCTTCATCCACCAGAAGATTCTGGCTTGTTCACTGCAAAACTCACCCAACTTGTTGGCTTTTACAGTATTTTGGGATCCTCGGAAAACAAAACAATTAAATAAGCAATTTATGTGTTTGCATGGATTTAGTGTTTTGAGTACAGAGTGTGCTGGAGCTCCCTGGAGTCTGGGGGGTTTCTTGCAGACCGTGGGGTTTGACTGTCCCCAGGGTCTGGTTGCTCTGTAAAACACAGATGGAGGGGTCAGGAAAGCAAAGAGTTACTCTGAGCACAAAGGATGATTGTGCTTGACTGAAAGATGGAATGAATCGGCCTCAAGCTGAGCAAGGTGAAACAAAGGGGGAAGGTAAAACAAGAGCTGAGTCACGTCCTTAACTCCATGTCTCACAGAGACCTTGTGCTTCCTTTAGATACATTTTGATGGCTGGGACAGTAATTATGATTTCTGGGTGGATGCAGACAGCCCTGACGTTCATCCAGTCGGCTGGTGTGCGAAAACTGGCCATGCTTTGCAAGTCCCTCTAGGTAAAGTAGATGACATCATATTGTTACGTCGAACAATTTCCCTGCTCTTTGGATGCAGGGAGAGTTTTACAAATCTAACTTTGGGGTTTTTTTTCTGATTACCAGGTGCTGTTGATCGAGTGGGACCAGTGGGACAAGCGTGTCCTACTCCCGGCTGCCACGGCATCGGGCACGTCAGGGGACCGCGATACGGAACACATTATACGTACGTCTCTGAGATCTTCTGAGAAGGCTTCTGCCTGCCAGAGCCTGACTGCTGGCCATGATAATAACAGTAATAATGCAGCAAGAAGCACCTGCACTGGAATTATCTCGGGGTGTTTATTCTGGAGCTGGTTATAGCTGCACTTGCAGCTCCCTCTTGTGTCTAAATGTGCTCTTTCATCATAAATTCTGTTTAGACCAGTATAATCATTACAACTGCGATGCAATCCAATCCAACAGAGATTAATTTACTCCAATTTCTACATTCTGGCATTACTGAAGGATTTTTTTTTTTTGGTAAAATAATATACCCCAGAACAGTACACAAGGAGACAGTGAAAGAGGGAGAGCGCGTGGGTAGATTATTAAGGTACAAGAGTGAGGAGAGCTAGCTCCTGGTTTGTGCTTTGATTTCTGATGTGCTCTGGGAAAAGGAAGGCTTTTCCTGATTAAACTGTTTTAAAGAACACGAAAACAATCTCAGATGGGAGGTCTGAAGACCTAGTAGTATATAACCTGGTAAAGGGCTTTGAGTTTTTCAGTTAAAGTTGCTTGTTTCGTGAAATACTGTTCAGACAAGCAGGTTCCAGAGGAAGAGCTCTTTTTTTCCTCTAAGGCGACTCTTTAAAAACATGACTTTGGTTTCTGATTCTGCCATGTAGTCCCCCTGCTTTCCCACACCTAAAGCTGGGTAATAACATCTCCCAGAGTGTTTCTGGCTTTGCTGATGGTTTGCCTGAGGCTGCCAAGTCTGTATGACTTAAAAACATGCATCATCATGATGGTTTGCCTGAGGCTGCCAAGTCTGTACGACTTAAAAACATGCATCGTCATCTCTCTCTCTCTCTTTTTTTTTTTTCCTCCTCCTTTTTTCTGTAACCCAGGTTAGTTGGCTGCCCGTACTCTGATGTCAACCTCAACAGGGAAAACTCCTTACAGGACCGTCTGAGCGGGGAGAGACCTGCCCCCAGCAACAGCCTCCAGAAAGCCAAGAGGCCAGAGACTCCTGCCCAGTTTGTGCTGGGAACAGGAGACTCTTCTCAGGAGGACTCTCCTCAATCCAGGTGAGCTCAGTCTTTTTCTTGGGCAGGGTCTTGGGGGGGGGCAAAACCATTTTACAAAGCTGAAAACCACAGGATCTGGCAGAGAGAAGCAGCAGAGCATTGAGTTCATCTGTCTGGAATATTGACCCGTGCCCCAGACACTCTTAACACAGAGCAGTGCACTTTTATACCCTCATGTGCCTTAATAGGTTTCTTGATTCCTTAATCCTGCTGCTCTGGTCACATTCCAACAAAGGAAATTGCATTCTGTCTCCATAAATTTTTTCCTTGCCGTTTCAATTTAAAATATATTCTTTTTCCTTCGTTTCCTGGCCTAAAACTGTCAAGCAAGGTTATTTTGCACTATTAACATGTAAGTGCAATCCACCCCAGAGTTGGCTGCATTACACTACTGGGTGTAATGGCTCTGTGTCTCACTTGGCAAACAAGTTGAGCTCCTTCAGGTACTTTATTTTCTTATATGAAAATCTTGGAATTGAGTATCATTGAAGCAAAGTGTGTATTAGCTCTTGGGCTGCAGGAGAATGTGTCCTGGGACAGACCTGGCTTTGATTATCATCACCTTTAGTTTGTACAAAACCAGTCTCACTAGAGCAAACTCCAATGGTCTTTGTTCTATATGAAGTCTTATATAGATTTTTAAGTTTGTTTTGCTTTGATTTACATTTTCAAGATACATTTGGCTAGAAAAAAGGGTACTTCCCTCCCCTCCCAGGCCAAAGTTTGCCTCCTCCCATCCCAGAAATGTGCAGGGGGTCTCCGTTTGCTAATCTCAACACCAGAATTGATTTGATTTCAACAGCACTGTTACCATAAAGTGCTCTCAGGAGCTTTGGAATTCTCCCAGAATAAATGACATTCTAAATTTGTAATACATTTCTCTTCTCCTAAGTATTTCATTTCCTGATAGTGGGAGGTCTAAATTGGGTATGTAAATCTGATAATACCCTACAGCTTGTTCTTCTTCCTTGGGCGACTGCGCAGCTCAGTTTTATGCATCAAACTCAGTCGTGGAGACTCTTAAATGTTGGAGCTTTGGAATTCTCCCCAAATAAATGGCATTCTAAATTTGTAATAACATTTCTCTTCTCCTAAGTATTTCATTTCCTGATAGTGGGAGGTCTGAGTTGGGTATGTAAATCTGATAATACCCTACAGCTTGTTCTTCCTTGGGCGACTGCGCAGCTCAGTTTATGCATCAAACTCAGTCATGGAGACTCTTAAATGTTATCATCTGAAGGTATCGAGATTCCAAAATCTTAAATCTCTTGATTTCACCATAAACACATCCTTCAGTGGGTTTCATGTAACTGCTGGGATCAGAGCCTCGGTCCACAGGGGCTGATTTATTTCCCATAATCTCTCTCCATCCGTGCTGAAGACTAAAAAAGCACTTTGTGCTGTGCCAGTGAGGATGGTGGGGGAGAGGAAGGCTCCTGCCACTAGGTGGTAGTTGCAGCTTGTGAGGAGCAGCCAGCTTTGCTCTCCTGAGAGAGAAGGGAACAGAGGATGGCACTTTAGCTGCTATCATTGATCTGTCTTTCCAGAAAATCCGCACAAGACAGTGAAAAGTCGTGTCAAAGCAGCGTTCACAGCCTGTCGGAGCAGTCTGAAAACAACCAAGAGAGAGACTGGGTAGAAGAGGATTCCTCTGCAGACATCAAAGCCAAACCAAAAAAGTAAATAAGATTTTTGTGATGTGTTTTCGTGCGATACATGCTGAAATACAGATGTAAATCCTAACTTGGAACAGCCCAATTTGATCACAGATCGGCAGCATGGGGTTGTAGAATGACGTGGTGAATCTCCTCCCTTCCTCCCGTTGTTTTGGGGCCTCTCTTTCCTGCAGTAAACTCAAATCTGAGTTGTAGCCCTGAATTTAACAACACAGTCCTTAGCTTAGGAGAGAGAGGTCAGGGACGGAGCAGTGCGGTTGCTTATTTTAAGAGGGAAAAGTTTGAGGTTCCTATAAATCCCATTAATCTCTGCATGGAGAAGACAGTATGAATATGGGCCGGCCGTGTGCCCAGGGGGGCAAGAAAGCCAATGGCATTCTGGCTTGTATCAGAAATAGTGTGACCAGCAGAAGTAGGGAGGTGATTGTGCCCCTGTACTCAGCACTGGGGAGGCCACACCTCGAGTGTTGTGTCCAGTTTTGGGCACCTCAATCCAAGAGAGATCTGGAGGGGCTGGAGCGAGTGCAGAGGAGGGCAACGAAGCTGGTGAGGGGGCTGGAAAACAAATCGTATGAGGAGCACCTGAAGGAGCTGGGACTGTTTAGTGTGAGGAAGAGGAGGCTGAGGGGAGACCTCATCACTCTCTACAACTACTTGAAAGGACACTGTAGAGAGGTTGGTGCTGGTCTCTTCTCACAGGGAATTAGTGACAGAACGAGAGGGAACGGCTCCGAGCTCCAACAGGGGAGGTTTAGATTGAACATTAGGAAAGAATTTTTCACCCAAAGAGTGGTCGGGCATTGGAACAGGCTGCCCAGGGAGGGGGGGGAGTCCCCATCCCTGGCTGTGTTTAAGGGCCGTTTAGATGCAGTGCTGAGGGACATGGTGTAGGGGAGGACTTTGTAGAGTAGGGGAGATGGTTGGACTCGATGATCCCAAGGGTCTCTTCCAACCTCAATGATTCTATGATTCTATGATATCAATTTCTATACCTTTTGAAATGTCTTATAATTGATGCTTTCAGGCTTGGGTGCTCACACGCCTATATAAAGTTCCAGCTGGTGAAGCAGGAAAGCAATGGGAAAGGTTGGTTAAATTTTCTTTCTTTCTCTGCGTGCGTGCGTGGATGTGCATATTCCACAGTCACAAGGAGCATTTAAAACTTCACAGCTTTTTTGTCTTTGATTCCACAGTCAAGAGAAAGCACCCGCTGGAGGGGATGGGAATGGCAGGCTTTCTTCCTTTAAAATGAGGAGGAAGGGTAAAATTCCTTAGAAGTGAAAGGTTTAATACTTTGTAGAGTGAAGCCTTATATTTATTAACTGAGAAAACAAGCTTGCACCCCTTCTTGTGCCACTGCCTTCTCTTCTGAAGTGACACAGGGTTTTTGTTCCCTGAGCAGTCAATGACATTGTGCTGACAGAGGTGACAAGGGTGACTTGGTCAAAACCTGACAAATAGTTCAATTTCCATCGATATCTGTCTTTAGACTCTGCTGGGCATTCAGAAACATAATCAGAATCATTTTGGGGAGTGACTTTTTTAAGGTTCCCTTAAGGATGACAAAGAAAGCAAAAGAATTAAATGGAAAAACAATGCCTTATTATTTTTTTTTTCTGGTATGCGACAGGTTAACTTTGAAGAGGAGCTTTCTGATATCACTTTAGCAAACCATATGCTTAACTTTCAGATTTACTATAAAAAGCCATTTCAGAGAACTGAGCTGACCAGGCTTTTAGGAGGATTTAACATGGTAATAAGTCTCCAATCCAAAATAGCTAAGCAGGCACAAACTGGGACAGGTGCCTAGCTTTTTTTCTTTTTTTTTCCTTTTTTTTTTTTTTTTTTAGTACTCATTTTTACCTCGTGCTGACTTGTGCAGTGGGAGCTGGAGGAGTGTGCCAGCTGTGAGCCGCAGTCGCAGCTGGCGGGGAAAGCTGCCTGCTCTCCCTTCACATTCACCTCAAACAGGGTGATGGGAATCAGTGGAGGGAAATTCTACCATAATCCACTGACCTGAGATTTCGTGATGACCCAGAGCTTTCATCCCATCTACATTTAGACTGTTAGAACCCTGCTTCTTTCTCCAAGAGAAGGTCGTTTGTTTATAGAGTCATAGAGTTGCCCAGGCTGGAAGGGACCTCCAAAGGCCATCTAGTCCGACCCCCCCGCAGTCAGCAGGGACACCCCCAACTAGACCAGGTTGCCCAGGGCCTCGTCGAGCCTCTCCTTGAATATCTCCAGGGATGGGGCCTCAACCACCTCCCTGGGCAGCCTGTTCCAGTGCTCCACCACCCTCACAGTGAAGAACCCTCTCCTCATCTCAGGTTGGGTTTGGACACTCACCGCCAAGGATTTGGGGTTAGAGAAGGAAAAGAGAGAGCCCGTGACAGCAGCAGTGCCCACCCTGCAGGGACGTGGCAGCATGGAAACCTTGGGCAGGAGTAGGACCTCCTGCAGCAAGGGAGATGGGGACAAGGCTGCCCCTGCCACCGGGGCGGTGGGGAGGCAGGGGAGGAGTAGGTGACAGCCCTCTGCCCTGTTGTCACCAGGAGCATCACCTCCTGAGCTGAGCAGTTGTTACTCAGGCTTGATCTTTTTAAAACCCTCCCTCTTTGGTCTCATTATTAAGAAGAGCAGCCTGTATTTGATGCTGTCCTACACCCTTCAGGAGGTAAGGTGACAGGGCTGGGGACAGGGGAGTGACATTTCACTAGATCAGGCTCTGCCTCCAGCGCTGCTTTCTCTTCGGCTGGTGAGGAGCAGAGAAATCATGGAAATGTGCTTTTCCTTCATAAGACTGTTTTCCTTCCTGCTTTCCACGTAGCGACTGGCGCACCCCACAGATCCTCACACACCATCCTACCACCCGCCGGCTGTGCCAACACTGAGCCAACCCAGCAGCGCGGGCGGCAGCCCTACGGGTACTGGCTTTGCCAAACCCTTCCCAAACAAGGGCAGGAATATCCCCCACCAGAGGGAGGGGATGTCATCCAAAAGGACCTGGACAGGCTGGAGAGGTGGGCCCAGGTGAACCTCATGAGGTTCAACAAGAACAAGTGCAAGGTTCTGCACCTGGGCCGGAACAATCCTCGCCACCAATAGAAACTAGGGGGTGAGGGATTGGAAAGCAGCCCTGAGGAAAGGGACTTGGGGGTGCTGGTGGATGAGAAGCTGGACATGAGCAGGCAGTGGGCAGCTGCAGCCCAGAAGGACAATCCCATCCTGGGCTGCATCAAAAGCTGCGTTGCCAGCAGGTCCAGAGAGGGGATTCTGCCACTTTACTCTGCTCTGGTGAGACCTCACCTGGAGTATTGTGTGCAGGTCTGGAGCCCTCAATATAAGAAGGACATGGACCTGCTGGAGCGGGTCCAGAGGAGGGCCACAAGGATGATCAGGGGGATGGAGCACCTCTGCTACGAGGACAGGCTGAGGGAGCTGGGGTTGTTCAGCCTGGAGAAGAGGAGGCTCCGGGGAGACCTAATAGCAGCCTTCCAGTCCCTGAGGGGGCTACAGGAAGGCTGGGGAGAGCCTGTTTAGAAAGGGCTGCAGTGACAGGACGAGGGGCAATGGCTTCAAGCTGGAGGGGAACAGATTTAGACTGGAGATGAGGAGAGGGTTCTTCACTGTGAGGGTGGTGGAGCACTGGAACAGGTTGCCCAGGGAGGTGGTTGAGGCCCCTTCCCTGGAGATATTCAAGGTGAGGCCCGACGAGGCCCTGGGCAACCTGGTCTAGTTGGGGGTGTCCCTGCTGACTGCGGGGGGGTGGGACTAGATGGCCTTTGGAGGTCCCTTCCAGCCTGGACAACTCTATGATTTTATGATTCTATTGTGATAACAGGGAATTTTGGCCAGTTGCCACGGGATGGTGCCGCGCACCCTGCACACCCTGCACACCCTGCGCACCCTGCACACCCTGCGCACCCTGCCCACCCTGCACACAGCCTGGCAGGGCTGGGTGGGTGCCCAGGGGACAGCACACCCCTGTAAACCAGAGGAATGTTTCCCATCATCTTTCCATCCTCTGCTTTGCTTCTCGTTGTGTAACCAGGCACGTCCCTGTAGGACCGTGACTCTGCACCGCTCCAGTGATCTCATCAGGGAGGGGTGATTTCTTCCGTGGGGTTTTTTGGGTTTTTTTCCCTTCGTTTTTAAAGCTTCCCTCACTTGACACACGAGGAGGGAGTTGATGTCTGAAGGTATGGTGCATCTCTGCTGGCCCGGGAGCATCTCTGGTGAGCCCGGGCCATGAGCTGGCAGGCGTAGCTCTCCTCTCAGGCTGGCTACAGCTGGGAGCTGGAGCGATGCCATTAGTTTCCAGCTGAAGATGCTGTTACCAGAACTCCTCCACCTTGTCAATAAAACGCTGCAAACATCTTCTCTGGTAGCAGCATGACATCATTTTCCAGGGAAGAAGCTAAAGATAAAGCCTCCAGTCTGGCAATCTTATCTTATCTTAGCTTTTTGGTTTTTTCCCCCCTTTCTCCTTCTGGGGAGGGTGGAAGAACCCCCTGAGAGCTCCCCGTGCCCTGCAGTAGCCGTGCCTGGCCGGCTGCTTGCCCTGCCTTGCTTTCCCCCTCCCAGAGTGTCACCCTTCCTCCTGCTTTTGTTGTACTTGCTCCTACTTGAAGCCTGGCTCTGATTTGTCTTCGTTTCCTTTTCCAGACTCTGATTTGGATCTCCAGCAGGCCCTCCACCAGTCCATCTTCATGCCTTCCCTGGCCTCCAACCCGACCCACCGCCTCCATCTCTGCTGGGAGCAGCACTGCAGGCTCCTGCCGGAGGTCTCGGGCCTGACGGCCAAACACGTGGCCAAATGGACTGTGGAAGAGGTGAGTCCCCTGTTCTGCTTCCCCGGGGTGCAGGAGTGACAGAGCCCTCCTCTTCTGCAGTGCTAATTAGAAGGCATCTTCATTTTCTTTCCTTTCCTTCCCTAGGCAATGCTCTCCTGTTTGCTTTGCGTGTGCCGTAGCTGACTCAGCTGGAAGTTATACCCGAGTCCCTTTATAAGAGAGGGGAAGGATCCCTATTAACCCTCTGGTGTCCACAGCTTATTTCCCTAAATACAATTCTCTCTTTCTCTCTCTCTTTCTCTCTCTCTCTTTCTCTCTCTCTCTTTCTCTCTCTCTCTTTCTCTCTCTCTCTCTTTCCCCCTTGATCTTCCAGTCCCCGGGCCTGACACATGACTCTGGCAGCGGATTCCGTTTCTCTCTCATCTCCCTCCTCCTTCCCTGGGACTTTGCTGCTGATTCACTTTTCCATTGCAGATAATTTGCCCGCTCCTCCTGCGCCTCCCTGATTCCCCTGCAACACAACTGCCCACAGCCTGACCTGATTTCTCTCCGAGGTAGCTGGGGATACGTCTCTGCAGTTCTAGCTCTTGAGATGTCTCCTATAATTAGGTGGTGTGTGAAAAAGCCAGTGTCTTTTGTGTGCTGAGTAGTTGGTTTTTTGCCTCGGTGCCTCGGGCATAAATAATATTTGTGCCTCTGCTTGGGAAGTTGGTGACAATTTGGATCCTTAATCGCAGGCCGTTTAATTCAAGAGAAATGTGCTGTAATGTTGTGCGTGCAAGGCTGGAGGTAATCTGCAAAGCAGGGAAAAGGTGCAGTTCTTCATGATGCATCTTCAGAGACTTTTCGGAAGTGCATTTTCCCTAAGTGCCTCTTACAGCAGAGAAATCCCATCTTGACTTTGCTCTTTGGGCTGGAGGAGATGGGTGGGATTGCTGTGTCACAGGAGACAGGAACCACAGCAGGTGTGATGGGGATAGAGCAATTAGTGTGGCTGTTCTAAAACCTGGTCCTCTTTTTGTTTGTTGTGGGGTGTTTTTTTGTAATGAAAATGTGTCTGAGTTAAATTCATAGCAAGGAGGAAATAATCTCTTTGAAAGATTTGCTGTTCATATCCTTCTTTTGAGAAAACTTCCACTGATTTTTTCCAAAAGGTCTTTTAGAAAATCAATACAGGCAGAAGCAGTTAATCCTCTGACATGAAAATCAGAAGCTCTTTTCTTTTGGATCAAACATGGAGGCTGGTTCATGGAAGAACAGGATACAAGCCAAATAAAATCTGTCCTTTGCGGTTGACCTTTAAAGCAACCGCTGAGTGAATTTAGCTGGGATATTGGTTTGATACCAGCTGAGTGTGAGCAGGGCCTGCAGGGCGTGGGTGCAGGGCAGGCCTGGATCCAGCAATTCAGAACCCGGGATAGGCCGAAGCGCGCTCCGTGCTGCAGCCTGAGACAACTGGGAAGGGTTTGGCTGCCGGTGGGAGCGTGAATGGCACATTAAAAAGCTCAGTTGCAGCCCCACAATGGACTGGCCAAAGTCATTACAGGTTTTTGTCTTGGGTTTCAGCAAAGTGGATCTGGTTTTGCAAATTAGGCTCATCACGAAGTCCCGTAGGAATCCATTTGGCCTCTGCTCCAGCACTTGCAGGATCAGCATGTGCAGGGAAATGTAGCCGCGGGGCTGGAAGATGAAAGCAGCAGGACTTTCTGTGTTTTAGTGAGTCCAAAGTCGATTTGATCGGTCGGCGTTTGGGCTCCTGACATCTTCCTACAGGGCAAACAGTTGCCTTTGGGTGGTGCTTTGAACTCCCCTGCACAAAGGAGGCCGTTCTGCTGCTCTGAAACAAGAGCGAGGGAGGGGGGTGTAAAATTCTCCTTTGGTTTTGAACTGAAGAACTGGTTTTATTTTATAAAACCCACATTAAGGAAGAAAATGTTGCTTTGATTCTGTTTGGTTGAGAACAGCTGAAATGGCAGAGCAGCAGCAGTATTTAGGGGCCCTCAAGCTAAGAAACTCTTGGTAACACTGAGACAGTCAACAAGAGTAGTTGCTTTAATGCAGCTTTGTTATTTATCGAAATCTTCCTGTCCTGTTTTCAGAGCACAGCTAGTGAAGGATCTTGAATTGGAGAAGAACATTAATATGTGCTAGGGTTGTATTGTTCATTAGCTAATCCTGTATCAGATGCTAATTCCTCGCGGGGAGACTGTCCTTGTGCTAATTGTTTGTGCGTTACTAACTCCCAGTTAAAGCCAGCTCCTCCCTGCATCGTCTCACCAGGCGTTGAGTTCTGCTGTAGGTTGATACCAAAGGGGTGCCCTGTGACTCTTGCCTTCCAACTTTACCAAAAAGGTGAATACTGGGCTGATTTCAATCTATCACACGCATCTGGGGTCACGTCAGCACCTTCCCTAGGGGTTGTGTGGAGTTTCTGAGGTGTTCTCAGAATGACACAAAGCCCTTTTTCAGCCCCCTTCCCTGTACCCACGGGCAGTCGTAGCGTAGGAGGGTTCCAGCAGGTACCTCTGTGAGGTTGTTCCCAGCAGGAAGAGCTCCTCCTCAAAGGAAAAGCCCTGAGCTGCCTGACCCCACCGTGCTCCCAACCTGCCCCACACTTCTCCCACCCTCACCCTTTCCCTTGGTCCAGGGTTTCCCTGCCACCGTGTGGGGCTGTGTTGGGTTCCTCCAGCCCGTGGTGTTACTGTGTTTTGGCCTCGTGCTCCTGAGCCTCCCTTGTCCCTCAACTGCCACCTCTTGGTTTGGGGACTCTCCTCCCCAGCGGTGATGGGCCAGGTCACTGGGGCTCAGTGGGACCTCTGGGCTGGCTCCCATCCTGGGCACCTTCTCTCCTGTTTTCTCCTCTTGCATCCTCCTTCCCTCTCTTTTCTCCGTGTCTGGTAAACCCCAGGACTCCTGTTAGTTTAAAAGGCCACTCCTGGGGCACGGAGTGCTTGCGGTGTCTGTACAAATGACATCTGGGACAGATCAAAGGGCTGTCACTCCCTGTCTGTGACAGTAGCCAGCAGCAATAGTGCAGGGAAGGGCACAGGAGCAAGGCAAGCTCAGATCAGTCCCTGGAGATTTCTGCCAGCCTCTCAATACCGGGGACAATAAAGGGCACTTACTGTCTTGCCCCCAGGGGTCCAACTCTCTCTTCAATTCTGGAAGGTACCAGACCCTTCAAAAGGGATTCAAAAGGGAAGTAGTATTTTGTTCTTTGTTGATAATAGGAGTTTGTACTTCTACAGAAGAAAGCCAAGAAAGCCAACAGCATCCTGGCCTGGATCAGGAACAGTGTGGGGAGTAGGGCCCGAGAGGTGATGGTCCCCCTGTACTGGGCACTGGTGAGGCCTCACCTCGAGTACTGTGTCCAGTTTTGGGCCCCCTACCATAAAAAAGACATTGAGGGGCTGGAGCGGGTCCAGAGAAGGGCGACAAAGCTGGTGAGGGGTCTGGAGAATAAGTCTTATGAGGAGAGGCTGAGGGAGCTGGGGTTATTCAGCCTGGAGAAGAGGAGGCTGAGGGGAGACCTTATTGCTCTCTCCAACTCCCTGAAAGGAGGGTGTAGAGAGGTGGGGGTCGGTCTCTTCTCTCAAGTCACAGGCGACAGGATGAGAGGAAATGGCCTCAAGTTACACCAGGGGAGGTTCAGGCTGGATATTAGGAAACATTTTTTCACTGAAAGGGTTCTCAGCCCTTGGAATGGGCTGCCCAGGGAGGTGGTGGAGGCCCCATCCCTGGAGGTGTTCAAAAGAGGGGTTGATGTAGTGCTGGGAGGTCTGGTTTAGTGATGATGCTCCTTGTTTGTTGTGTGGGTGTCTATTTTTGTCAGTCAGGTTGACGGTTGGACAAGATGGTCTTTAAGGTCCCTTCCAACCTAGAAGATTCTGTGAAAATCTGGAGTCACTGTCTGATGGGGATGTGGATTTTAGGGGTTCCCTTTAAAATGGAGCTGTCGCTGCTCGCGGAAGATGAGGGAGAAACGGGAGAGGATGCTCTGCTTTCAGGTTAGGTAACAGAAAGCAGGGGAGTCAGAGCTGCTCGCCAGAAATCAGCCTCTGCTGGGGCAGAGCAGAACCCGAGGGCAGGCTGACAGCTCCCTTCCTGCGTGGTTGGAGCTGGGGGAAGGGAATGAGGATTAGTCAAGTGGTGGGATCAGCTGGAGATGCATCGACAGGGTTTAGGGGAGAGTCTGACAGTCCCGAGTTAAAGGGAAGCTCGTGTTTGACAGTGACCCCCCCCTCACTGTTTGTTTGTGTTCATGGAAGACATGTCACATCTGGAATAGCTCACATGAATATGCCTCATGAAACAGAGCTGTTCCTGCGAGGGAGCATCCAATTAGCATGAGATGTTTGATCTGATTATGCCTCAATGTACAAATCTCCTCTGAAGCAGGGAAGCTACAGCTGGAGAAGACAATACATATTAAGTCACCCTCCGCTGCGTTCGGGACTGCTCCTCGCACTGCTTAGTCTTATCTAATGTCATCCAAGGGCTGCTCGCGTGTCTCTGGGGAGATTATTCCAAATGTTAACAGATTTCCTACTTAGAAAGGTTTTCCCTAATGGGAAATGTAAAATTAACTTTTACTCCTTTAATCCTGTTGGTTCCACGGATCCTGTGCACTCAAAACGGAGTAAATAAAACCCAAAACTCCTCTCTTTCCCAGCTCCTGCCTTCTGTGTGTTGGTAAACACTCATTCAGTTGGTTTATTCTGTCTCTTAAAGGCATGTCATCAAGGGAGACTGTCTAATCCTTTTTCCTTTTTTATTTTAATTGCCAGCAATACCGTAGAGAAAGTGAAGTTGTGGATGGGTTTAAAATAGTATAGCCATATACGGCTTTTTATCTGTAAAAATAGTGTTGGTATTTTATAAAAGGGAGCAATGGAGGAACTGGGCTCTTACAGGAAGAGAAGTGGTCAAAGGGCCATGTGGAAAGTGTTAGAGGGAACTGGAATGTGCTACACAGGGGTATGGCAGAAACAACCCAGTCATGTTTCATACGTACCCTTCATTGATGGGGGAGTTGTAAGTATTAAAGTTTTAAAACTTTAAAGTTTTAAAACCGTGTCCAGTTCTGGGCTCCCCAGTTCAAGAGGGACAGGGAACTACTGGAAAGAGTCCAGCGAAGGGCTACAAAGATGATTCAAGGATTGGAGCATCTCCCTTATGAGGAGAGGCTGAAAGAGCTGGGACTCTTTAGTCTGGAGAAGAGAAGGCTGAGGGGAGACCTTATCAATGCTGACAAGTATCTCAAGGGAGGGTTGAAGGAGGAGGGAACCAGACTCTTTTCAGTGGTTCCCAGTGAGAGGACGAGGGGCAACGGGCACAAGGTGGAACATAAAGAGTTCCACTTGAATATGGGGAAGAACTTCTTCCCAGTGAGGGTGACAGAGCCCTGGGACAGGCTGCCCAGGGAGGGTGTGGAGTCCCCTTCTCTGGAGATTTTCAAGCCCCACCTGGATGCTCCTGAGTAACATGCTCTGACAAGCTCTGGGTGGTCCTGCTTTGGCAGGGGGGTTGGACTAGATGATCTCTATGGTCCCTTCCAACTCTAAAAATTCGGTGAAATTCAGTGAAATTCGGTGAAATTCAGTGAAAAATTCTTGCATATAGAACTCACATACAGAAATACGACCTTTTAGCTCGGTGGTGCCCCGTTTTAATTATGCCTATTTCTCTTTTCCCCAATGCAATCCCAGGTGGTGAGCTTCATCCAGCGTTTACCCGGTTGCAAAGAACAAGCCTCCGTGTTCAGGGAAGAGGTAAGTGGAGTCTGCCCGAGCCCCGGGCCGTGCCGAGGGCAGCGAGGAGGTTGTGTACCCCTTAATCCTGGAGTCAGAGAGCACAGACATGCTCAGGCTTGTCATCAAAGAGCCTGTGGCATTTAGGAGGCAGCTTTTCAGCATCGGGCTGAATTCCGGCACGGCTAATTGCATTCTGCTGCTTTAAATTTCCCCTGCAGTTCCACTCCCTGAGCTTATGCTGAACATCCTGTCTTGGACCGTTGCGCGGTGGGTTTGGCATCGCTATAAAGATGTCCTCTTGGAATGGCACCATGAGGATCTCATCTGCTCCCTCTAACGAGCACATATGCCCAATTCTCCTGGGGAGGCTGGCAGTCTTAGGGTTTCCCAGGAATCGCTGGCTTCCCCCCTGGGCTGAGGTGAGAGCAGGAGGAGAACCTCTCCTTCAGCAGGCAGTGGTGGGGACATCAGAGCATGGGCTCGATGCAGTGTGTCCCGTCCTCGCTGCCATCTGCAGCACGTGGTGTGTCCTGTCCTCATTGCCATCTCCTGCACCCAGCGTGTCCTGTCCTCGCTGCCACCTCCTGTCCTTGCTGCCATCTTCTGTCCTCGCTGCCATCTCCTGCACAGTGTGTCCCATCCTCACTGCCATCTCCTGCACCCAGCGTGTCCCATCCTCGCTGCCACCTCCTGTCCTCACTGCCATCTCCTGCACAGTGTGTCCTGTCTTCACTGCCACCTCCTGTCTTCACTGCCATCTTCTGTCCTCGCTGCCATCTCCTGCACAGTGTGTCCTGTCCTCACTGCCATCTCCTGCACCCAGCGTGTCCCGTCCTCACTGCCATCTCCTGTCCTCTCTGCCATCTCCTGCACCCAGTGTTTCCCATCCTCGCTGCCATCTCCTGTCCTCCCTGCCATCTCCTGCACAGTGTGTCCTGTTCTCACTGCCATCTCCTGCACCCTGCGTGTCCATCCTCGCTGCCACCTCCTGCACAGTGTGTCCCATCCTCGCTGCCACCTCCTGTCCTCGCTGCCACCTCCTGTCCTCACTGCCATCTCCTGCACCCAGTGTGTCCCATCCTCACTGCCATCTCCTGTCCTCACTGCCATCTCCTGCACCCAGTGTGTCCCATCCTCACTGCCATCTCCTGTCCTCTCTGCCATCTCCTGCACCCAGTGTTTCCCATCCTCGCTGCCATCTCCTGTCCTCCCTGCCATCTCCTGCACAGTGTGTCCTGTTCTCACTGCCATCTCCTGCACCCTGCGTGTCCATCCTCGCTGCCACCTCCTGCACAGTGTGTCCCATCCTCGCTGCCACCTCCTGTCCTCGCTGCCACCTCCTGTCCTCACTGCCATCTCCTGCACCCAGTGTGTCCCATCCTCACTGCCATCTCCTGTCCTCACTGCCATCTCCTGCACCCAGTGTGTCCCATCCTCACTGCCATCTCCTGTCCTCTCTGCCATCTCCTGCACCCAGTGTTTCCCATCCTCGCTGCCATCTCCTGCACAGTGTGTCCCATCCTCACTGCCATCTCCTGCACCCAGCGTGTCCTGTCCTCACTGCCACCTCCTGTCCTCCCCGTCCTCGCTGCCATCTGCAGCACGTGGTGTGTCCTGTCCTCATTGCCATCTCCTGCACCCAGCGTGTCCCGTCCTCACTGCCATCTCCTGTCCTCTCTGCCATCTCCTGCACCCAGTGTTTCCCATCCTCGCTGCCATCTCCTGTCCTCCCTGCCATCTCCTGCACAGTGTGTCCTGTTCTCACTGCCATCTCCTGCACCCTGCGTGTCCATCCTCGCTGCCACCTCCTGCACAGTGTGTCCCATCCTCGCTGCCACCTCCTGTCCTCGCTGCCACCTCCTGTCCTCACTGCCATCTCCTGCACCCAGTGTGTCCCATCCTCACTGCCATCTCCTGTCCTCACTGCCACCTCCTGCACCCTGCGTGTCCCGTCCTCCCTGCCACCTCCTGTCCTCCCTGCCATCTCCTGCACAGTGTGTCCCATCCTCGCTGCCACCTCCTGTCCTCGCTGCCACCTCCTGCACCCAGTGTGTCCCATCCTCGCTGCCATCTCCTGTCCTCGCTGCCATCTCCTGTCCTCACTGCTATCTCCTGCACAGTGTGTTCCATCCTCCCTGCCATCTCCTGCACAGTGTGTCCCATCCTCGCTGCCACCTCCTGTCCTCGCTGCCACCTCCTGTCCTCCCTGCCAACTTCTGCACAGTGTGTCCCATCCTCACTGCCATCTCCTGCACCCAGTGTGTCCCATCCTCACTGCCATCTCCTGCACCCAGTGTGTCCCATCCTCACTGCCATCTCCTGCACCCTGCGTGTCCATCCTCACTGCCGTCTCCTGCACAGTATGTCCCATCCTCACTGCCATCTTCTGTCCTCACTGCCATCTCCTGCACCCAGTGTGTTCCATCATCACTTCCACCTCCTGTCCTCGCTGCCACCTCCTGTCCTCACTGCCATCTTCTGTCCTCGCTGCCACCTCCTGTCCCATCCTCACTGCCATCTCCTGCACCCTGCGTGTCCATCCTCACTGCCGTCTCCTGCACAGTATGTCCCATCCTCACTGCCATCTTCTGTCCTCACTGCCATCTCCTGCACCCAGTGTGTTCCATCATCACTTCCACCTCCTGTCCTCGCTGCCACCTCCTGTCCTCACTGCCATCTTCTGTCCTCGCTGCCACCTCCTGCAGTGTGTCCCATCCTCACTGCCATCTCCTGTCCTCGCTGCCACCTCCTGCACGCAACGTGTCCCATCCTCACTGCCACCTCCTGTCCTCACTGCCACCTCCTGCACCCAGTGTGTCCTGTCCTTGCTGTCACATCTCCTGCCCTCACTGCCATCTCCTGCACGTGGTGTGTCCCATCCTCACTGCCACGTGCTGGACTCTGTTCATGGTGCGTTCCCCGTGGCTTCTGAGAAACCGCAGCCAGCGCAGGCTGGGGCTCTCCTCTTTCTTAGCACACGTCTTCGCACGGCTCAGAGAGACTCGGGCTCTGTTGGGTGCTTTGGCTCCCATTGAAACCTCAGGTATGACTGGGAGGTTCTTTAGGAGCCCCTGATAAATTTGCACAGACATCCCTCCCCTTCTGGCACCCCAGCTCTGCTGCTCTGACTGTTCAGAGCTTGAAGGAAGAGGCTGCACCGTCTCCGCTGTGCGCACCCTCTGTTCTGGGGAAGAGCACTGCACGTAGTGACTGTAAAGGGCAGGTTTTTAATAGATGACTTCTCCCCAGAGCTGGCTTCCTTTCAGGATGAATCAGGCTGTAGTGCATTTTATGGGCTTTATGTCTCTGTGTTTTGGTTTCCCTTGTTTTAAAAAACAACGCACACGCACAAAATATAAAGCAAACGAAGTGGAGCCTTGCAAAAAGCACTGTGCACCCTGTAACGATGTTGTTTAATTGAATACAGTGGGAATAATGAAATTTATTCGGATGAACCGATCTTTCAGTGTAGGTGAGTGTAAAAAAGGTGCATCCTGATTCCTGGTGGGGGATGTATTCAGAGGTGAGAGCTCAGTAGGCAAGATGTTAGTGGCAAATCTTCTAACGAATCCAACCATTCACAATGTGCTTTATTTCTTCTGGCCATAATTTAACCGGGTCCTGAGCACAGCGACTGCTTTCTGGTTCACAGAGCCCATAGCCACGTTCTGTTTTAACACCTTCCTTTCTGCCACCTCAAAGTAGGATTCCCTGAGCTGGATGAGAGGGGCTGGGGTTGTTTTGGGGGTTTATGCCCAAATGGAATTGTCAGTTTGAATCCAAACCCTTTTAGCAGCTCGGCTTTGGATTCAGGTGTGAGGGAGGGGAGGGCTGAACTCCAGGCACGTTGGCCATTAGCTTTAATCAGGACTTTGAGCTCTCTCCCTTTAGGACAAATAAATCTCTTGGCCGGGGGGAGAAGTCGCTGCTTACGTTAGGAACGGAGAGAACAAATTGTGCACAGAATTTTAAAAACCATCCGAATGAGATGGAACAAAGAAAGGAATACTGAAGCAAAGGCCCCGATGCTGTGCTTGTTTCTAGGTCCAGTTCAGGGAAGGTCTGTTTAAAATAAGCATCTTTGTGGCAATGCAGTGAAAATGAGACAGAGCAATAATATTGGACTCCAAAGCATTTTGAAACGTGGGGCTGTTTTCCAGCAGTTTTCCGCTACTCTTGACTCTGTATTATTTAATTTAAGCTGCAGTCCATTTGTTTCAAGCTATTTTTAACATATTCATCGCGGTCGTGTAGACTCCGGGCAGCTTGCAAATAAGATTTGGGGATGTTGTGGGGCCATTTGTGGACTGGGAGCACTGCTGTCATTTCCAGTGTGCGTACTGGGAGGTTCAGTAACTTGCTGACGGTCTCTTGTGTGGTTAGAGAAAGGGAAACCAAAACTCCTGGCTCCCAGCTCTTTTGCTTTAATTATATGTTTGTCCAAGTTTATTCAGTGTATCCTTTTCCACCAGTCCTTGACGTCCAAAAAAAGTTCCAGTCAGGAAAACTACAGAAATAGAAGAATTGTTGTTGTGGAGGAGTGGAGTGTCCGGTGCTGTCTGCGGCGCTGGTGAACATCAAGTGGGGGGATGAGATGCTGTCAGTCCCTGTAAATGGACTTTAATGGAATAACTTAGGGAGACACACACTGTTTGTCTGTATCCATTAATCTTTGGCTTCTTCCCTGCAGCATTTGGGGTTTATATTAATTGTATCTGTGTCGTCTCTGTGGATGTTTTTGTAAACCCAAGTAAATTTTTAACCTCTTCTTAAAATAATCTGTTGGGATTTCACTCCCTGCTACCTAGAGCATCTTGTGTTTTCACAAGGCAGTGTGCTTTTTGCTTGCTTGCTTTGAATCTAATTGAATATCTCCTTGCGGGTGGATTTAGGAGAGTGTATAAATCCAGACACATGACATGTCTTCACTGAGCCTTGTTTTCTATAAAACACAATCTCTTTCACCACGTGCTAAGCAAGCACGTTTAGTGGCACTGAAAACCATTGCACAAGAGTCTCCTGTTCTCCTTTAAACAGACTTGTTGTCCGTGGGCATCATACATCCTCGTTGGGAGAGCAGACAGATGTTCATATCTCAGGGGTTTTGCTCATCTGTAAGGTTTTTAGCAGAGCTGACAAAAGAAGAGGTGGAAAAAAAAATAAAAGGGGTGATTGGTTTTAAATTTTCCCCTGAACAGCTTAACAGGGGGTGAAGAGTCTGTGCTCTGACAGTATGTGATGAATGCACTAGGAAGTGGTGAATTTCTATTTCTAATCATCGTAGATCAGTGCAATATATTAATTCTTGGATATCTGCCTCCTGAAGACTCACACTCTCGATTTCCTGACCTGATTTCTGGCCACAGGTTGTGCCTGGGCCATATGATTTCTGACAGTTGTTGGCTTTTTAGAGCAATGATAGTAAATATAAAGTCTAATGAACCAGCATCCTCCCCACGGTCTCTCCATAAGCCTTGCCCACACTTGGGCTTGGGCAACAAAGCTGGTGAGGGGTCTGGAGCACAAGTCTTGTGAGGAGAGGCTGAGGGAGCTGGGGGTGTTCAGCCTGGAGAAAAGGAGGCTGAGGGGAGACCTTATTGCTCTCTACAACTCCCTGAAAGGAGGGTGTAGAGAGATGGGGGTCGGTCTCTTTTCTCAAGTCACAGGCGATGGGACAAGAGGAAATGGCCTCAAGTTGCACCAGGGGAGGTTCAGATTGGAGATTGGGAACAATTTTTATCCTGAAAGGGTTATGAAGCCTTGGAATGGGCTGCCCAGGGAAGGGGTTGAGGCACCATCCCTGGAGGGATTTAAAAGCCGGGTTGACCTAATGCTTAGAGACATGGTTTAGTGATGGGTTTTATCAGAGTTGGGTTGATGGTTGGACTAGATGATCTTAAAGGTCCCTTCCAACCCAGACAATTCTTTGATTCTATAAAAATCTGGTATTTTTATCCCACCTGGAAGAAGGCTCCTTGGCTCCATCATCAGAAGCTCCAGATTAGAGTTTACAAAGGTCTTCCACATGTCAGGATATTAGGAAGAATTTTTTCACCAAAAGGGTTCTCAGCCATTGGAATGGGCTGCCCAGGGAGGTGGTGGAGGCACCATCCCTGGAGGTGTTCAAAAGAGGGGTTGATGTGGTGCTGGGAGGTCTGGTTTAGTGATGGTGATGCTTCTTGGGTGTTTTGTTGTTTATTTTTGTCAGTCAGGTTGATGGTTGGACAAGATGATCTTTAAGGTCCCTTCCAACCTAGAAGATTCTGTGATTCTCTGTTTCTAGACAAAGGTTCTGCTGGATGAGGCCTGAGACCCTTGGGAAGGGCAGCATTTCTGAGAACCTCACCAGGGTGCGGGCACCAGAACTAGGGAGAATGACAAGATTTCAGTCTTCAGAGCTGCCTTTGTACTTTCCTTCCTCAGTTCCGAGTACATTGTTAGATTGACCAACCAGAAGCGGGACTCCTGCCTATCTCTTGGTGATAATCTTTATCTTATCTTGTGTTTCCAACCTCTAGCAGATAGATGGTGAGGCTTTCCTGCTCCTGAACCAGAGCGACATCGTTAAAATACTCAGTATCAAGCTGGGGCCTGCCCTGAAGATCTACAACGCCATTCTCATGTTCAAGTCAGCAGAAGACAACTGAGAAGAGCCCTTTGGCAGAGCCCACGAGGAGATCTTCAGCTGAGAGAGAGTTACAACCCGTCCGACAGGCAGATTAGGACTCAGGTGGATTTTAAGTAGAATTCTTAAAAATATTTTGAGGACAGAAAAAAAAAATCCTGCCGCAGTCTGAGATACGGGGCAGCTTCACTTCCAAGAAGAGGATATTATTCTATTTTGTTATTGAATTTGGTTTTGCTAATATCAATCTCGTTTTGAGATCTAGAAGAAACCTCCGGTTCTAAGGGGAATCCAGGGTCACGTTGGTGGAGCTGCAATGGTAAGAGGAAAGCTCAGACTGAAATGACTGCTGTGTCCAGTGACAGTGCCTGAAAGAGAGACTGAGTTATCACCAGCGTGTTTAATATATTCTATATCTATTAAAACTGAGAAAAAAGAGTAAGGCAGTGACAGTGCCTGAAAGAGAGACTGAGTTATCACCAGCGTGTTTAATATATTCTCTATCTATAAAAACTGAGAAAAAAAAAGTTAGAAAATAGGGAAAAGATGCACTTCAGAGCAACTCACCTGTATCTTTCAGTGCTGGGACTCCAGAGCTGAAAATCGGGACTGATTTTCAATTCCAGTTTCTCCTACTGATCCCAGTTATTCCAGTACCCTTGGCCCCTGGGCTGCATGCCCCATGGCAGAAAGGTGACGTGGGCACAGGGTTTCCAGCTGTGAGGACCTGTGTCCTTACTGGGAACCAGCAAAATGTTCTCATTGGTGTCACCAGATGGTGGGAAGCGAGTAGTAGATAGGCTTTGGGTAGGCAAAGAACTCTATAAAGATAAATATTCTGGCCATAATTCTCCCATCAGGGCTTTTGTGCAAATGCCATCTGAACCCAGAAAATGGTACAATCCAGGAGCACTTGGGCATTTGCTGGGTTCATTCTTGTCCTCCCCATTGTCAGCCAGACACTAGGAATATGAGTTCGAAGCCCAGCAGTGGCCAGCATAAGTGTCCAGATGCAAACAGATTTCCTAGAAACAATTTGCTTTTCTTTTTGAACAGTTGAAACTCATGAACTCTTAGTGGTTTTAGCCTTTCCAGCCTCTGGGTGGACTTTGGTCTCTCCTACCCAGGAGCTGGTGTGCTGTAGCAGCGGGGCCCCAGCTCCTCTGCCTCCCTCCTGGCTGGGTGGGCAGAGGGCATGGGGGGCTTTGACTTGAGGGGGGGGGAATTGGGGTTCAAACAGACACCAAAACACAGTGAGAGTCACTTCTCAGAAGGGAGGGTGTCAGGGAGGAAGCAGAGCTGTGTCCCTGGGTGTGCAGGCTGGGCTCTGCTGGCAGGAGGGGAGCACGAGTATTGCCTGCTCTGCTCAAAGGCAGAGGGAACGTGGTTTTACCAACATCCACCCAAGGCTGCCATGTCCTGGGTGGGACATTTCCACACCATCACTCCCAGAGCCTTCCTCCTACGACGGGAGCCTTGGGAGAAGTGGTTGAGCCCTGCTGGGGCTCTGCTCAGCGTTTCCATCCGTGCCTGCAGCGTTCTAGCTCCTGACTCATCCTCTGGCCACTCTCCCTGATAGATATTTGGCTGTTCTGGAGTTTAGCTAGAACCATCTCAGCTAGAGAAGCCTTTTCACCCCATCATTCACAGCCTCCAGGATGAATCCTGTGTGTGTGGCCCCCTCCGAGCATGCTGAGTGCTGCCAAAGGCAGATGGTGCCACCAGCCCTCTGCCCAGGGTGGCATGAATTTCTCAGGGCATTGCATGATGAGATGTGCTCATCTGTACCCACCTCAGCCTCCTCCTGTGCTTCTCATCTTTGTCACCAGTGCTGTTGCCTCAGTCCCAGCCCTGCAGCTTCTCCAAGAGCCACAGGGAACTGAGGATGTCACAAGGAACGTGCTTGGTCTTCCCTGATCACTCCATGCCCTTTGTCCAACCTTCCAGCTGCTGAGAAGGTCCTTGTGACTTGCCTGAAGTAATAAGTTCCTTAAAGTTGTAAATAGAGCAGAATCCACCCCGCTGAAGCCGTTCGGTCCTGGATTAATATAAAGAGCAATTTGTCTTCATACTTTCTATTTTTGTATAAGATGTTAAGGAGTTTAAGCCTTCAACGGAGAAGACATAGGGGTGGTGGGATATTTAATAGCTGAAATGTTAAATATCAGCCAGGCAACTGCAGGAGGGTAATTTAATGCAGTGTTAAGGACTAGGCAAGATATGAATTTAATTTATTAAAATACATTCCTAGTATGATAACTAGGATATTCACCAAAGAGTCACATTCTTTTATCCCTCTGCGTATCCCGTGTCACTCTGAAGACTTGAATTGTAAGTGGCATCTCCTGGGCTCGGCCACAGCTCGCCTTGGAGGCAAAGCAGAAGTGTTTCCTGACAACTGGAGCAGAGGATCCAGAGCTGGGCTGGTTTGTTCCTTCCTCCCCACCCCCTTCCTAAATAACCCCGAGCTCTTCTTCGCCCCAGTTTCCCCCTCTGGGCCACCCAGCCAGGTGTGGGGAGAGCAACTGGGCTTTGTGCTGGTTTCCAGATTCCTGCCAGATTTTCTATTTTACCTCCCTCCTTTGGGAGACCCAGTTGGGGGACAGCAGACTTGCCTCCAGCAAGAAAACAAAATATAATATTGTTTTATCTCTTTTCCTATATATAGAGAGAGAGGATGAAGGGAATCGGTGAAACAAGCAATGAGATTCTAGTCATTGAAATTATTCAAACAGAAGAGAAATCTTTAATCCTAAGGGCTTCCAAGCCAGCTGGATCAAAGAGGAAAATGTGTTCTTGGAGTTTGTTCAGTGAGAGCCAGAGCAGTGCTCTCAGCAAGGAGGAAGGAGGAACCCTTTTAGGGAGAGGAGGAGGAGGAGGAATGTGCTTCTTGTGCCTTTTTCCCTAATCCGATAATTGTCTTTGCAGAGCAGGCAGGAACGCGCACACGTGTATCCCCGGCTGCTTGTCCAAATATAGCTGCATTCTCATAAAATAACAGTAACATAAGGGCAAAAAGATTCCAAGTGTCTTCACTGGACACGTTTAAAATTCCCTAATATTCACAAGACAGTCTTCACTGGACACGTTTAAAATTCCCTAATATTCCCAAGACAGAAAAAACCCCCCCAAAAAACTAAACCAGCTCATCTTTTAGCCCCGTTGCTTAGGAATTGGCTGGTGCTGGTGCCTTTCCACGTGTGTCAGGGGCCAGGGGGGCACCCGGTGAGTTGTTTCTGCTGCTGGGCTCTGCCTCATCAAGGAGAGGGCTCTGCAGACGCCTTTTCTTCTCTAATGCCTTGTTGTCTGATTAAAAACACGCACTTTGAAGCAGAAAGCCAAAAGCTGTAGCTCTGTGCTGAAGGAAGCTGAAACTGGTCAGTGCCACCTGGTTTTTGGAGGCTTTCGTTGGCTGCTGGACATCAGCAGAAACCAGCTGGTGGCCCGACCGAACCCAAAAGTCACTTTTAGAAATATAAATATATGACTTAGAAGCAGCCCTGGAGCTGTGAGAGCTTCCCATGGGCCGACGGTGCGATTGGGGAGTTTCAATTCTCAATTAAACTGGATTTTATTCCTGGATATATTTTTATTCCTCTACCCCTGCTTTTGAAATCCGACATAATCATCAAATTTTACTTTTCTTTTTTTTTTTTTCTTCTCCTGGGCAGAAAGTCCTGTTAAATTTGTTCTGTGCCATCACCAACCATCATCCTTGTAATCCGGGAGCAGCAACAAATTTCTGCTCAGGGGTAATGAATCTCATTAAAGAGGGAGGGAAGCGTCTCCCCGGCGCTGACGGCGAAACTCCACAATCCCAGTGAAATCAAAAAAAAAAAATATCAACCCCCAACACCCAGCCCAAGGGATAAGCCAGTTCAGCTGTAGAAGATTTCCTGCCTGCTACTTCCATGCCCTGCTTTAGGGATTTATACCAGAGAAAGCTTTAAAAGTTTTTGACATCCTCTCTGTCATGTGATGAAGTGGCTGATTTTTTTATATTTTTTTTTTTTGGGTGAAATTCCTCTTACTTGAACTGGAAACACGTGCTGGGAAGGGAGCGTGCCCCCGGCCTCCCAAACCTTCGCTTCTTTGAAACCAAACAAACACTTGAGCTTTGTGACACGAGCCCTGACGTTGCACTCCACGGATGCTTTCTTCTGGAAATGTGAATAAAATTAATATAAGTTCAACCCCCGACTCTTTCTTCCCCCCTTTGGCTCCGAGCCCCCCACATGCCGGCCGGGGGGAGCTGGGCTGGGAGGGGGGGGGACACACATCGTGGGGGTCCCTGGGTTTTTTCCCTCCCCTAAACCTAAATCAGAGCTCAGGCAGCATTTTTATCTTTTCTCTCTTCCACCAAGCAGGAATTTGGGCTCTCCTTGGTTGGTGCATGGGGTGGCATCAGCCTTGGCCACCATCATCCTCCTCCCTGTCCCTCCCACCACAGAGGATTTTAATCCCTCCTCGTTCTTCATCCCAGGACTCTCATCTTCCTCCAACCACTTCTGAATCGGGAGTGGTTTAACTAAAACCAGCAAGAACTGGGTACGAATTAATATTAAAACTCTACGTTTTGGGTCTGATGTACCTTAATGCCCCATTGGGCTTCTTCACCGTGTCCCCCCCCCCAATTGTCACCAACTCACCTGGGTGTTTGTTTCTGCTCTAATTGTCATCAGCTGATAAATTGCAAAGCACCGTGTGGGGAATGTGCCCTTAATTGGTTTTCCCCCAAAATCAGGTGTGTGTGTGTGGGGGGGGATATCTCTTCCTCCTCCCCTCCCTCTTCCCTCCCCCTCCCCAGGTGTTGGTGGCCCCTGAGGCTGATGCCCCAGCGTGTCCCCAAGCCCAGGGACGGGGGGGGGGGGCACAGACCCCCTTTGGTGGCTGAGATCAGCACAACTTTCCAAAACTAAAAATACCCTCCATCTGGCGCCCGGCCATAATTTCTAAACTGAACTGTCCCATCCTCAGGGTAAATAAACATTTGCTCTCCTTGGATTTTTTTTTTCCCTTCCAAGGTTTTTTTTTTTTTTTGTTTTTTTGGTTTTTTTGCTTCTATTTAAACCCCAGCTTGTTTGCTTTCGTTGCCGTGCCCGGGTTCCCAGTCTGGGGAGCTGGGGGGCTCCTTGCACCCTCAGAGCATCCCCTTCTCCCTGCCCCTGAGGGTTCTGCTGGGCTCCTCTCTCATTACACTTGCTGTATCTGAATTTCTCCGCAGAAAGGATGTTTTTTTTCAAGCCAAGCTTTTGATGGAGAGGTTTTAACAGAGCAGAGTACATTAATCACCCCAATGGCTGATTATATTTGCAGATGATTCTGCTCAGGCAGACGTGGAAAGTTTTGTCCCAAGTCATATTTCTCCTTGGGCAGGGAAAACCTCTAGTTTATATTTTTTGCCAGCTTAAATGCTTGAGTTGTTCTGTGCCCAGCCC